GACCCATAACACAGCACATTATCATGAAATTCCAGGCCACTAGGGATAAAGAAAAGATCTAAAAGCTTCCAGAGAGAAAATGAAGGTCACCTACGAAGGACCACAAACCAAGCAGCATCTGACTTTTCAATAACAACACAGAAGCCTAGAAATGTTACAAAGCCTTTAACATTTGGGAGGTATTATTTTCAAACTATGTTCAGATATGTCCAATCAAGTTAAAGGTAAAATAAGGACATTTTCAGACTTGTATGTAAGGTCTCTATCTTTTATGCACTCTTTAAAAAAAATATATTTTATTTTAATTTATTTATTTTTTGTTTTTTGGGGTTTTTTGTTTGTTTGTTTTAAGAAGGAGGTAATTAGATTTTATTTTTTTACTTATGTATTTTAATGGAGGTATATGGGTATTGAACCCAGGACCTCGTGCATGCTAAGCGTGCACTCTACCACTGAGCTATACCCTCCCACCATCTCCTATGTACTGTTTACCTCAGGAAATTATGAGAGGATGCCAACCACCAAAACAATTCAAGATAAAGAAATAGAGGAACTACCATAGAAGAAATACAGGGAAAGAGACAAAGGAATTCCCATGTTATGGTAAAGGAATGTCCCAAGACAAACTATGGAACAGATCTAGAAAGCAACCAGTCATGATTACAACAGGAGGATGAGCTCTGGGAAGGATACCTTCAAGAAAAAAAAAAAAAGGAACTGATGAATCAATTGATCTGTCTGACCATACTAAAAGGGGTTTTATTATACTGTCAAAGAGTTTAGAAAAAGAATTAAGGATGGGTGTGATATGGACATTAAGCAAATGAGAAAAATGAGGTAACGATTAACTGTCCCCCTCCCCCTAAAACCCATAAAGTTGACAAGAAAAGAAATGCAATTACATTATGAAGCTTCAATGTAAACTAATTTTTGTATAGTCTTTGTGGCAGCAACTACCAGTCGTCCCTTAATATCCATTCTCCTCTTCTTCCACAGTAATAGAATTATTAGCTGGGCCCATGGTTGCCAGGTAAGGACTACATTTCCCAGCTAGATGTGGCAAGGCAACTAAGCACTGGTCAATGAGAGGTGAAGAGTAATACACACAGTTGCTGGGTTGTACCCTTAAAGGAAACCTTGCTGCTGATTGGAATGCCCACACGGTGGGTAGTTACCCATTATGGATCTTAAGAATAAAGAAAACGAGATAAAGGGAAACTGGGCCTCTGACAACTTTGCGAGCATAGCTGCCATACTGGAGAACACTGAGAGAGAAATAACTTCCATCTTTGTAAGCCATTGGTATTTAGGCTCTCTGTCACAACCAAACCTGCACCATAACTATTACAATTATAACACTGTAAACACTGAACACTGTGCTGAAAATAGACTTGGGTGGTGGAGCTAAAACTAAGGTAAATTTTCATTTTCTGTTGAAAGGAGCCAACAGATAAAATGGAAAGCTGAAATATTAGGAAAGAGCAGTAAGAACACATAATTAGAAATATAGATATAAATACTGAAATAAACGGTTTAAAATAGTTTCCTCTGGTGCGCAGGATTAGGGATAAGGAGGGGTACGACAAAGGATGTCTGTGTTTCCTTTTCAGTCTTACAGCATAGTACCACTGAAGTTTCAAAATTATATACATGTATCATTTTGATAAAAATATAAGTTAAGTTGTTAAATGATCTATTTCATTCTTAAACTGTTATAAATTTAGTTCCATATTGAGGATTAGTTGACAGCCTGTTAAATGCAAGAATGGGACACAGACTAGATTTCTAGGGGTATGAATATGGATAAGAAGTGCACCAAAAACACTCTCATATTTAGCCCTGATTATACCACTCAAAATCATTTCACTCTAGTGTAATTTGGCTTCAACACAAGTACAGTGAAAATGGTTTCATTTTTATTAGTATCTAGAAGATTGAAGTCAACATTTTATTTATTTAAAAAGTAGGGTTGAAAAACCCTACCATCTTACCCGCAAACTGTTTAACACCTGAAGTATTCTTCGATTCCATCTCTCTTCCTCAATATTTCGTTCGTTCCCCAATGACTCCTGTTTGAATAAAATATTTGAATAAAATATTTCATTTAAGCAAATTTTACTGAATGTTTACTACTTGTGAAACATACGTTAGCTGCCACAAGAAACACAACTGTAACACTGGGTCCTGCCAAATAAGGAGCTAATAGTCTAATAATAGAGAGAAAACACTAACATACAAATATAGCTCAACCTTTGCAGGATTATATCTATGCTCCCAGGCTGTCTTCTGACAAGGAGCTCCAGTGTAGGAGATTTCACCATCTTTATTGGTGACACATCCCAGGCATTCTTACTTTTAAAAGTAAAGATGACCGCTGTTGGCTAGGACTGTCCCAGCTCTGGTCAATCTCAACTCAGTTGATAGGAGTAAACATAAAACTATAGAAGAACTGCCCTGTAAAGGCTTTTATCTGAATTTATCTGGTGATCTAGAAGTTCTAACAATAACTGATGTTTAGTAGGTTGTGTACAATTAGGTTAGAGACTTTTTGAATTTCAAGAGTGCCTTGTCCAAAAAAGATCAACCCAGTGACCATCATGTTATGTGAATAGATTCATCCTTCTCAGTCTTTGAAATTTAGCCAACTTCAGAAACATCTTAATATTTAAAAATTGTAAAGTTGAAATCCCTTCACAGGAACGCACTCTAAGTCCTTACCAACTAACACCTTATGAGCTGAGAACAGAACTGGGCACAGGAAAGGTGCTGATGAGTATGATAAAAAGAGCAAGCCGACAAGGGTTGGGGGAAGTAAGTGACGCAGATCTGACCTATTTTATCATTTTTCCTACCCTGTCTCTGACCATGCAATCCAATAGCTTCTGTGTCATCCTTGTCACAGCTCCACTGTTTGTCAAGCCTTCGTGCATACCTCTGGAGTCCAGACACTTTCTAAAAGTGTTTTCAATTTCATGGACTCCAAAATGATTTCAGAAAGCTCCAGGATATCCTGTATGACATTTTAAATCATTTGAGGCGAAGGAGACTGCCAAGTCTCCATTCCTACTAGCTATACCGGCTTCCTGGCTCTGCCTGGGCAGCATCCTTCCTTACATTCCAAAGAGACTGATTTGAAAATATGGTCACTTTGCTCTGAAGAGTTTTCTAAATTCCTCCAGCTACGATTTATGTTTATTCCTTTTTGGTCTGTCCTGAGATAAATGAATTCACCCAATTACTATGTTTATTTTATTGTTAAATACACAAATGCTATTTTTCAAATGTAAAAAATGGCCCAACTCTTTGTTAAAGAGCCGGGAGACTGCAGCTTCACCTACATTGCACAACTAAACTAACCAGGAAAAGGCTCAGAAAAAATAGTCTGTGCACTTTGCTGAAGCCTGTCCGCTTGATCTATCTGGACACCCTACAGCTGAGTCCATTGTGTGGAAAGCCCAGCGGATTATTAAAACAGCTGAACTTGTGCTGTGTTGTGGTTTGCTTGACCATGTATGAAAATAACCTGTGTCTAGAAGCAAAGAGAAAGGCAGAAGTGACTCAACCCTCCTCTGGCTCAGCTGTTTGGATGTTTCAGGTGCAAAGTTCAGGTATTTATTCTGCCCTAGATTATCCAGAGAATTCAGTCTGTTTTCCACACATTAAAAAAATTAATAGTTTGGGAACTTATTATAAAGGTAATTTATTTAAAATCAAACATTAGGCATCAACAGGTGTTCTGATATTATTTACTAAGAAACTTTTGTTAAAACTGGTTACAATCTTAAAAATACCTTCAGTGCTGTGGGGCAAGGACTAGAGCAATGAGACAGGTGAGTCAGATGTTGGCTCTGGCTCTGCTGCGACTTGTGGCCCTCTGAGCACACCATTCTCTTTTTCTGATCTCTAGAAGTTTTGCAAAGACATAGGCCTTGAGCTATGTAATGTTTTGGGAAGTAATGCCCATTCATTTTTCTTAAATAAAATGAAAATTCAAATGCCCTTGGACATACCCCTGATGTAGCTCTATTTCTTTAGAGATGTTATAAGAATAACTTAAAACAATGATTCTTAAAACATTTTTAACCTGTGACACCTTTGATAAGCATAACAATCTCATACGTTTCTTTACATTATTTGAAGTTTCAAAATATATTAAAGAAAGAAAAAAGATCAAAGCAACTTTGAATGTGTTTTATCAAGCTACTCATACACATCTTTTTTAAGATCACCAATTTAAATTGTAATTTTAGAAAGTAACATGACAGCTCTATAAAAGCAAATTTTAGGTAAATAAGGTGTTAACTATTCAGGAACCAAATTTTTAAGAACATTCTCAAAACTACACAGATATTTACCAATTCAACTGGACAATTTTCAATTTCTTGTGTCAAGATGGTATTCATTAAGGACAATTTCCCGGCAGCTGATGACACCGTTTCAACAATATCCTGCTAAAGCAAATTAGGGAAATATAGGTAAGTCATCCCAGTAGTAGTCGTCATCACAGGGACAATCCCATGTTGTTAAGTGCTTTAGTCACATGAATGCTCATTTCTAAACCTAATTTAAAATACTACCTGCATTCTCAAAATATTATTTCTGAAACATCCCAGATAGGTAGCCCCTGACTTAAATATTCCTGTTTTCCTTCTGCCCCTGATAAATGAAGAAGTTGCATGTCCTTGCCCTCCTGGCTGCCTATCTTTTCCCTTCGTATTTTCCCTCATCCCTGCTGACCTCTTATCAAAAGACTGCTGTGCGGCTGAGACCACTTTCCTTTGAAGCATGTTGTCTTTGCCCCAGACCCCTACCTCTATTCTCAGGCCAGAACCACATGGCCGAGGAAGGACTGCAAGCAGAGGGAATGAGAATGGGGGAAGGGATATTAATGTTCCTGCTGAGGTCTAATGCAGGATTCTTGCCACCACAGCTAGAGCTGCCACTGGCAAGAGAGAAGAAAAACTATGTCCTCGGAAAGGGGAGTGAAGACATAAAGAAAGAAGGAAAAAGAGAAAGCCAGAAATTCTCCATACCCCAACATCTCCCCCTTTTTATTGCTGTGGAAGCTGTTGGCCCCTTTTTCATCTTCACTGTCTTCAAGCTTCATTCCCCAGCTGTCATCTGTGATGATGATTAAGTTAGAAGCTTCCAACAACATAGGTTTCTTGATTTTTTCCCTTTACTTTTTAAAATTTTCATGAATATAAGGAGTTGTATTTTATTCTTTGATATACACGTTTGTGGTGCCCTATCATGTGTTTTCCCTTTTAATTTCTATGAATAGCCTACATTTTAGATACTCTCAATTGTGCAGTTACTTTAC